TAATATATTAGAAAAATTGAATAGATATGAATAAGCATTGGAATATTTTACTTTAGCTATTGAAAAAAACCCATGAAATATCGGAGTATTTTCTAAATAAAGGTATAATAAATTAAATCGAAATGTTTAGCTAATATATTAGATAAAATGAATAGATTTGAAGAAGCGATTGGAATACTATGAATGCTGCTATTTAGATAGCTCCAGAAATCTCAAACTATTATAATGCCAAAGGTATATTAAAATCTGTAACGCTTTATAGCTATTACTTTAAAAAAAATGAATAGATTTGAGACAGCATCTGATATATTATGACTAAGCTATTTAGAAAAATCCTGAAGAATCTGACTATTATTTTAACAAAGGTAAATTTAATTTAAGAGGATTTTTTAGCTAATGCATTACATAAATTGAATAGGTTTTAAAAAGCTCTTGAATAATTTGATTTAGCTATTTCCGTAAAACCCTGAAGATTCTGACTATTACTCTGCGAAAGGTAGATATAAGACTGTAAATTTAAGCTATGACTTTACAACAACTGAATCGATTTGAAGAAGCATTAGATATATTACGATTCAGCTATTTAGAAAAACCCTGAAAATTCAAACTATTCATTTTTATAAAGGTAAATACAGCCAAATAATTTCTGAGCTAATACACTACAAAGTATTAATAGGTTAAAAGAATCACTTGAATATTACGATTCAGCTATTTTGAAAAACCCTGAAAATTCAAGCATTTTTATTAACAATAGGTGCAATAATATCAGTTTTATTTCTTAGCTAATACGATATTATCTAGATCGACAAAAAATTGTCAGCAGTTCCGGGAATATTATGATTTAGCCATTTAGAAGAACCCTGAATATTCTGACTATTATTTTAACAAAGGTAGAATTTATCAAGTTAATTTAATAGCTATTACTTTATAGAAAATTGATAGATTAGAAACAGCAGTGGAATAATATGATTTAGCCATATAGAAAAATCCTGAAAATTCTGACTATTATTTTAACAAAGGTATAATCTATTAATAGAATTTAATAGCTATTGTTTTATATAAACTTAATAGATTTGAAGAAGCATTGGAATTCTATGATTCAGCTATTTAAAAAAACACCTAAATTTCAGACTATTATTTTAGCAAGGGTAAGTTAAAATTGATATAATTTTTTAAGCAAATGCACTAAAAAGATTGAAAAGATTTGAAGAAGCATTGGAATTCTATGATTCAGCTATTTAAAAAAATCCACAAGATTCTGATTATTACAACAACAAAGGTATGTTTAATTAATATAATTTAATAGCTATTACCCTAGATTTAATTGATAGAATTGAAGAAGCTTTAGAACATTTTGATTAAGCTATTTAGATAAATCCTGAAGACTCTACCTTTTATTTTAACAAAGGTAATTCAGTTTTATTTCTTAGCTAATATATTATATAAAATGGATAAATTTGAAGAAGCCTTGAAATATTATGGTTTAGCCATTTAGTTAGATCCCTAAGATTCAGATTATTATAACAGCAAAGGTAAAAAAAAAAAATTTATTAATACAATAGCCAATACTTTATAGAAAATATATAGATTTGAAGAAGCTTAGATATATTATGATTTAGCTATTTAGTTAAACCCTTCAGATGTAAAGCATAATACTGTAAATTAAATCTTCGAAGATTCTAAGTACAATACCTTCAGTTGAAGATCATTTATTAATAATTATAATTTATTGAAGTATATTATTTCAATATATCTCAATCGTTAATCTTTTGAAGTTTTCAATAAAAAATGATTTTTTATGTAAATGATAGTCATGTATCTAATAGACTT